CATTCTTTTTGTAAATGAACGTGTCAGATTATGAAATAGTACGCCTATTTATCACTTATTTGTTTAACAAATATTAATTTAAATTACACATGACAAGAATCAGAACTATTTTTTGTGTTTCGGATTGAAAAAATTGGTTTCAGTACACTTTGTACATTTTGGTGGCAAAAACAAAGTGTAAACGTATACTTTGCCTACATAAGCAAAGTGTACAAGTACATTTTGTTTTAGATTTCTATTGGAAATCCTGCTCGTGACCTCTTATATTCTCACTAATGAACTATACAGCTAACTAAAGAAGAAAGAAAACATCGGAAGTTTCTGTTAGTTCTTGCCCTTTTCTTGTCGAATTTTTAACAGATCTGTATCTGTTTTTTATCAAACTCTTTGTCACTTTCATGCGAACTTCTTATGTAAGAATTCAATAAGAATGTAATAAGATTTTTATACGAGTCGTAGCAGATTCTTATCAGATTCTTGTTAGATTCTTTTGTAAGCATCGATTACTAGGGAAATACCGATAATATGGATTTTACACTTAAGTCAGTCGGTTTAAAGTTTTCTTTCTGGCAAAAAAGAATAATCATTTAATACAACTAGTATCAGATTGTATAGCGTAAAATTTTGCATCTTTTGAAGTTAAAATAATTATCTGAAAGTTGAATTGAGAGATCAGCAGTGCTTCGTAAAAGAAGTTAATGTTTATTCTGTGTTGTTTATAAAATTAGAATATTTTAATACCGTGAATATTCTGCTAAAATTTCAAAATTAATTTCAAAACAAATCAACAGTTGTTTAGAGAATTAAATTTTCTATCTTTTGAGCTAAAAATATTAAATTCTTAAATGCAAGTGAATATGGATCAAAATTTAATGGAAAAGTGTTTCAGGACTTCTGGTCCACTCGCTAATCGCTGATTTCTTGAAAATTTTTTCAAAGTTTCATGATCCTAAAATCTGACTCTTAGCTAGAGCCGTTCGTACACAGGGAGCAAAATTAACTATTTCTGTCATTATTTTCTCCTTATCTTTGAAGTGATTCCCGTTCTGAAAATTGTCCTGCAAAAGGTGGTCCTCCAAAATTTTGTCCGATCTTGTTCCGATCACTAGCTGAGTATGTGAGTGATTTAATTCGAATTTTTTTACATGACTTTATGTGGAAAAGTGATCGAAATCGCCCGTGAAAACCATCGGTCTCTATCTGCTTTTCGTGCTTTCTATACGTGTCAATTTATACGATGGAACACTATATTTAAAGTACACTACGCATACTTTGTATAGAATTTGTTTTCTTACTTTTATTACACACGGTCGTGTTATGCAAATTCAAATACCTTAAATACTACTAGGCATGCCAAAAAACAATGGCTATTTTTGAAATAAATTGGGAACGAAAATTGATAGAGCCCGGTTGTTTTCGCCATTCGATAGCCAAGATTTTAAACCATCTATTCTTAAGCAAAACATTTTTGACATTACTTTGCAAAAATGATTGTTCAACGAAGTCTTTGGAAAAGTATTTCATAATCGGAGAATTTCAACATAGCAACATGTGAGGTTTTTTTATGAATGAATAACTCAAAGTGTTCTCTTTGAAATAGGATGTAAGCAAGAGCTCCATCTGCCATGGTTCAGTGATGGAAAGGACTTTTCCCTTAAGAAGCCTTACGACTGCCGTTTTTTAGCATTTAGGAATCTTGAGAACGCATGGAAACATACTAAATCTCGTAACAATAATTGTTTTCCGAAGAAAAGTCAAGAACTTGGCGAAAACCTATAGCGGATGGAATAAAACATATTTGACTATTTTCACACGAAATATTCATAACTTAATCAAAATCGGTCCAAACTACTCCAAAACTTCAACACGTAGTCCAGTTAAGTAAATTTAGAAAAACCTTTTCTCACATCCGAAAACTAAACTATTTTCTGGTGATTTTGAGTCTTTTTTAAATCAAAAATATACGATAGATGAAATGGAATATGTGTTTAAATTTTTGTGTAGTTTATAACATACGTACCTAAAAATACTTTTGTAATTATAGAGAACCGATGCTTTCGAAAAAGCAAAAAATAGAAACAGTATCATGTCTATTCTATAGAATGGAATTAGAGCGGGAAATCTACACACAGATGTTCTCTAGAAGATTGATTACAACCAAGGTACGATATTAGGAGATTTTGTTTAGAACTGAATGGGTAAGTCTGAGCAACTGATATCATAGTGGTGTGTTAGCACACTTACTCTACAGTTTCTGTGGTGTATGGGGCGATTAAATAAGAGAAAGTTTCTCCATCTAAATTTTACTTTTGAACTGTAGTGTAAATATACAAACCAAAATTTAAAGAAAGCAAAGGACGCGAAATAAAGAAAGGAAAAAACAAATTAGTCTTTGGAAGTTTTATCGATTTTCCAGTTACCGTCGCTAATTTGTTTTCAGTTTTCAGCTAATTTGGTGAAGTCTAAAAATTAAAAGAGCACAAGACAAGTCCCCTAGCGAATTAAACTTACGATTTGTACGTGGGTCGAGGGTGTGTATGGGGAGACTAAGTAAGAGTGCCAGAAGCTTGTCAACTACAGGGAGATATAGGGCTGTTGAAACTGCCATTCGGCAGCACCCTATACATACATATTTTAATGCGTTTGTCGAACAGGCAATCCTTTTATCATGTTGTAATCTGTATCTAAAAAGTAAAAATCAGTATGAATAGAATCAGTTAGTAAATTGAGAGGATGTACACAGCAAATTCAGCTCTTTTTTCCGTATCTAAATAGGTCTCATTTTCGCTAGTCTAATAAATTGACATAAACGTTTTTTTCTCATTTTAAACGAGACGAAAAACAGTAACTATTATATAAGGCAATTGCCTTATATCGACGAACGGATTAAAATTTGATTGCACTATGTTCAGAAAAGTCCAAGAAGAACATAGTGGAATCAATCGGAGATAACAAAACGCTGACTGGAAAAAGCTGGAGCTAGTTGGTGCGTACCGGGGCAACATAGGGTGGCGTGCGCACTGTTTTTCAGTACTGTACTGGGACACATTTGTAGGAAAGTCGATGATGTTTCTTATAAGAATCTGATAAGCACAATGTACGAGTTTTGCTTACTCTTACCAATTTCTTATGAATTCTTGTAAGATTCTTATAAGATTCAGCAGAATTCTTCTCACTCTCATGGAAGAGCTTATATAAGAACCCCTCAAATGGTTTTATTCTTTTTAGGTTAAGTTATAAAAGAGAAATTCTCTTGGATTGCAATCAGTAGTATTTCACAGACATGACATTGAGCGGGAAAATGTACCGAAATCATTGGAATAGGAGAACAAATTAAAATCACCTACAGTAATAACCCATCAGTATCTACGAACGTTTGAAAATTCTACATGTGAAAGTAATATACTTTAAGTATAGTGTTCATCGTATAAATTGACACCTATACGTTCCCTGATCCTCTCTTTCGAATAGTGAAGACTGCAGGTCTCTATCAACTTTCGTTCAAAACTTATAAGCTTTTGTCGTCAGCTGCCTTATTTAAGAATTCCGATAGTAGGATTCAGATTCATTAAAATGTGAATAATGTGAAACTATGATTTTTGGCATTCGACATTGTATTTTATAAGTAAAAGGTGGTAGGGGTTTGTTATAATTTGTTAATGACATCGTGTAAGTAGACGCGAAGAATTGGTTGAGTTCTCATGAGGAATGTTAATAGTCTCGCTCGTTGGACTTAACAATACTGGAATAATATTAGTTTTGGTATGACACAGTGCATATTTGATTAGATTCCTGCATGGTTTTTTGGAAAACCTACATTGTTTTCCGATTGATTTCCATTCTGACTAGGTTATTATATTGTAAAATTATTCGACAATATAGTCACATGGAGCTCGGTGACTTATGAATAAGACAAACAAGAAAAAATGCACACTATTCATTTTCATAGGAAACATTTCTATTTTTCATAATCATTCAACCGAATCCAAATCTATTGAAGTATTGAATCACAATAATAATGAATGTATGAAAATAGAAGCTACGATGGTGTATCGTGTATGTAAAATCGGTTGTTGTTCTAATTTTTGTGGAGAATTTAAGAGCTTTATAGCACGTGGAAATGTTATTGATTTAGCCGTAGGGTTCATTATTGGACAAGCGTTCACCAATGTTGTTCAGTCGCTAGTCACCGATATTATAACACCACCATTTGGTTTGCTATTTGATAATGTAGATTTTTCAAATCTAACGGTTAAAATGCGACTATATCATAACAACAAGCCACCAGTTCTTTTGAAATATGGTCATTTTATTCAACAAGTCTTGTATTTTATCATCGTCGGTTTTGCTTTATTTTTGATTATTACAATTGTTAGCAAAATAGTGAAAAGAATGAAAAAGATTAGAGAAAAACGTCATCAAAATAAGAATGAGATGGTTGTAATTGACGAAGACGTGGATAAAAATGCTAAAGAAGAATTAGTTGAAAATGAACAACTTATAGTATTAAAAGAAATAAGAGATTTATTGCTCTTACTTAAAAAACCATCCATGCCGAATGTTCACTCATTGGAATGATCAAAACACTATTTTATTTTTATTGTTACTATGATAAACTTCTAACAATTGCATTTTACAAAAATAAAATTAATGTATGCAAATAATGGGAATCTAAACGGGAATGATACCGGCCATCAACTCTTTTAACTCTGTTTTAAAAGTGAAATATCATTTTTTCGAACTATTTATTATAATTACTCAGAATAATAATATTGAGTGTATGAAGTACTGATGAAGGGTGACACAAGTTAGACCACTATCTGAAATTTTAATACGAAATGATTAGCAGTTTTATTTCAATGTTGGTTGGCTGCTGCGTATGTAAAGAAAAACTATCACTTCGAATTTATTTATTTATCATTTTCTTACAGTAATTAGTTTTATCAGACAGTTACAATATACACATGGTATATTTCTTCTCGCTATAGTGCATTTGTTTTCATTTTTCTGAAAAACTAGCATTATCACAAGATGTAAATAGTTGATAACGTGCGTCTCCACACAACCTTTTTTTAAAATCATGCAGTGTACTGCTATCTGTCCATTAAAAGAATGACCATGCTCGCTTTTGTATAACTCAAAAACAGAGATATAGAGAGTCCCGATATTCACTATTGTGCAGCCAAAAGTGAAGAATATTTCGCAGTAAGAGAAAATATTTTCAAAACGGGTTTTTCAGAAGATCTTTGGAAAACTTGTTCGTAGCCAAAAACTTTTAAATAACGCTGTATTCATGTTTTCATATGTATAGGTAGTCCAGATTCTGGTTGCCTTACGAGTCTCTCAGTTTCACGTACAAACAGTCAAAATTCGTTTCCTCAGCTGATCTAACTTTTCATCAGGTTTGGAATTTTTCCAAAATTTATCTACTGCTCCCCGATGTTGAGCGTGGTCGATCACCTATGTTTCCATATGTTTTCGACCACGCTCAACCTCGGGGAGCAGTTGATTAATAGTTTTTCAGAAAAATGAAAACAAATGCACTATAGCGAGAAGAAATATACCATGTGTATATTGTAACTGTCTGATAAAACTAATTACTGTAAG